TAAATTGGCAAAGAATTTCAATACTCTCAGACAAATTAACTCTGCCAGCAGCCTTGGTAACCATGAGTTAACTGTCAACCACGTTGGTGGCTTTGCAATCCGCACACTGACTAGAGGTTGTCACTGTCTTCTCTTACACAATTTGTTCTGAATGAAGCTTTGCCTCAGTGCCACAAATAAATGATTGTTGGGTTGAAAAAAAAAAAAAAACCACCAACAAAGTACCCAAAAGCAGAGAAGCCCAAACTGAGCTCAGGGCTCAATGAAGGGTGGAGGAAAGGCCATCCTTAAGGAGCTGTGGAGAGTTTGGATGCTGTCCTTGGACACAGGCCACACACGATCTATTAAAATCTGTCTCTCATGTCAGTAACTCACATGGGCTGAGCATATTTGTGGGTGAGAATGCTATAAAGCCTTTTTGTGCTCTTGCGATTCAAGTATTTAATAAGAGAAAAATGATACTATAAATAGGAACACCATAGTTGGTAAGGACTGGGGATACAAAAGGAGATATGCAGTCTCAGTTATGACAGGAGAGAAAAGAAAAAGCAAAGAAAATATCAACTGAAACCAGCAACTTGTGCAGAAGTGCTTAATCAAACATGAACTTTGTATACAACCCATCGACAGCAAATTTGCTCTCGCAAAGTGAACAGCTTGCGAGCGGGAGAGTGCCTTTTTTGGTCACGTTTTGCAAAGGGCTGAAAATATGTGCTTAGTAGGTGTTGTGGCTTTTTCAAGTATTGTGAGCCTTTCTGTGCATTAAAAGCATTTTTGCCAGTGTTTATATATTGTTCCTATCTTCCATTCATGTGGAAACCTTCCTCCTTCCAATCCTGTCTTCTCCTGAATACACTGTAATGATATCAATCAAGGTTTTCTTAGGAGCGTGGCACCCATGTCCAAGAATAAAGCATAATAAACAGGAGCTGGGAGAATGGGTCAGTTCATTAAATCCAGCCTGGTGGTGTTGTGCTCTGATACAGACTGATAACAGATACAAAAGTGAGCCTGTCTGGAGTGGTTTTGTTCAGACTTGTGTGAAGGATAAAGTACTAAAATAAGAGGAATCCCTTTAATTTGCACTTGTGACAGGCAGCTTCCACTTTATCACTGAAAAAATATGAACTATGTCTGTTTTGAGATATTAAAACCAGGTAATCAAGTGTTGGTTTTTTCCCACAATATTGAATTTCTGGCTACAATTCATTTTAGACAGGAGGTGGCACAGACTAATAGATGGCCAGCATTTCTTTTTAACTGAAAGTCCTAAAGAAATTCTCTATATTAGGGCTTTAAACATATTCTCAGTTAGAAGCATTTTATATAGTTTTATAAGAATAATTGTAAGCTCACTGGTCTGTATTTGTGCAAGTTTTTAATGAAGTCCCTTGGGTCTAAGATATTAGATTTTAGTTGTAATTGCACAAATATCAGCCCACCATCCTTGGCCTGTTTTTTGCCCATTTAGTGATAGTTACAGGCTAAACCAAACATATACTTGCCATATGTGGGTACAAAGGTGCTGACACCACATTGTTATACTGGTGGTAAAGATCAATTAAATATGCAAAGTAATACAGCTCTCCTTCCTTTAAAAGAACATCTAAACTCTCACGCAAAAACCTCAGCTATTTTTGGCACCCAAATCAGGTTATCTTGTTTGTCAGCCTAAGCTTTTGGGATTGTTTTTTTAAAGAAAAAAAACAACCTATGAACAAAACAGCTTGTGTTTTCTTTGGTTTTCTAACATTTACATGTTTATAAAAATCCAAATAAGAATGCACAACACCTCTTCGTTGCAGATAAAAGTGTAAATAAATGCAGCAGTGTGGTTTTCTGCTGAGAAGGGGTTAGGAATACCAGGTTGATTTTCCCCTTGAGAAAGGGCAAGCAATTTAGAATCACTGCACATTGTTTTTACACATTGACCCTTCTCCTGGAGCAGAGGTGGCCAAAAACAGCACGCAGAGGGATGACTGCATGCATATGTGCTCAGCTGAAGGATTTGCACATTTCAAGGTTAGAGAACTTGGATTAACTGCTGAACAAAAGGGGCGAAACAGAATAAAATGCAATTATTTTTCTATGCTAATCTTTCAGCCGCTCATTACATCAAGGCAATGAATGATAATTGCTGCTAAAGAACAGTTATGTAGAATATTTTTCCTCAGAAAGAAAAACCAAATAAACTTACTAAAAATTCAGATGTTGTTTATGCGTATGTGGGGAAACTTCTTTCCTGAGTTTTTGCTTTCTACAGACCCTATATGGATGTACATAAACAAGAAAAATAATTACCATTATATTTTTACAGTGAAAATAACCAGACAAACTAATCATAAAAGACATGACTGAGCACACAAAAAATGAAGTTCAATTGACATATTCAAGCTCTAATTTATAAGAGAGTAGAAATACTCTTTCAATCCAGATTTGCAATTTATGGTTTTAGAAACTGTAATGTTTCAAAAATGATCACTACTACTCTTACAGAAGGATGGTATACTTGAAAAAATGCTCTTATTTATACACTCTTTACAAAGTGAAAATCCAGAAGGCAATATGAAGGGCCACTGTTACATGAGTAAGTGACTTCCACTCCCTTCTCTGTGTGAGAGAGAACAGGCAATCCCTGACAGATGCCTGAAAATCTCCCAAGTAGATGTACTGAACATGGGGGATCGCCAAGCGCCTGTCCTAGAGCCTGCCTCCAAACAGAAGGATAAATTGCTCCAAAGCCATAAAGGTGTTAGAAATTCAAAGACAACATCTTTCAATAATAATATTCCATCCAGCAATCATAAACATGAATGCTATATTTAGGTTTTTCAGTAAATTCCTTAATAACAATGATGGTCACAAAAAGTAATTCCATTTAAATAATCTAATATGTGTCAAAGAAATAACTACTTCAGACCCTCTACTAGATGGTGAAGTATGCATTTTTCACACCAAATGTCTAAAAAGAAAATATATTTTTGGTTATAACCACCTGAAGAACATCTGGAAGCAGTCCAGGCTCCAGTATCTTTATAATTTCAAGATTGTTGAACATGTCTATTGAATTACTTGAAAGAAAGTCAAGCAATAAACCCCACACTTTTCACTTTAAATTAAGGTTGTGTTTTGTCATGGACAACACCTTAAAATTCTAGAAAATAATTTTGAAATGTTGTCTTCAAAAATAAATATGAAATTTTTGGACAAGTGAAAGTTCTTCAAACCTCAGAGCTTTTCCTCTTGCAGAGAAAGCTAATTCCTTCACAAAAAAAATGATGGGCAGTTCCTGTAAGATTTTTACTCTTCATATAAGAAAATCCATAGGGGTAAGCTAATTCTGAAAGGAACCTTATTAGTTATTATGAAAAATGAAATAAATCAACCATGCAATCTGGACCAAGCTTGAAAGTACTTCTTAAAATTGACCTGGCTTTTGTGCTGGCTTTGGTTTGCCAGCTTCTCTTCCTGAAAGTGGCTTTTATTACTTTTAGTAATGGTTGTGATTTTCAGCGTATGACAGTAGGCCAGTCAGTTTCTAGACTTAGTTTTCACTGTTTATAATCAGCTGATAAGAGATTTCACAAACCATCACAAAGTGATTCTGAAAACAGAAGTTCCCCCCTCGCTGCATGGGGTACAGTTAGGTCCCATCCAGTGAAAGAAAGGTATCTTGGGCTTCTCAGGGTCAGAGAGCTTGGTGTCTACCAGGTCCAAAATGATCTGTCATTCACAAGAAATGAAAGATCACCTCAGGGTGGAGGGTGATTTTGCCGGATCAGGTTTCAAACAGGTGTTTCAAGCGCCTCCTGTGGGGTGCCTGATAGCACGACTGAGATTGTGCAGACAAAGGTTATAGAAATTCGACAGCGGGCTTCACCGTACTCATCCCTTGTTGATCTGTGCACAGGAACCTCCAAGCACAGGCAAAAACCCTATCAACACCACAGACCTATGGAACTTTCTCAGTCGAAGTGCCGTTTTGCTCGCTAAAACCGCAGGTCTCAGCCAGTGCCGCGCGGCCAGGGTCGAGACACCCGGCAGGGCTGAAGGGAAAAGCGGGGAC